AACTGATGTTTGATATCATTTTTAGCGAGGAATTATCAGACATGTTTTGAAAGATTGTCTCCTCTATTTGCGGAAATGTGTTGTTGAATATGTTTAGTATGAACGAAGGTCTAGTTCGTCAACTTCAACTGTAATATTCTGGTTGCCTGAACAATTTTTCTTCAACTTTTGGTTATATTCATATATTTGTACTGACATATCACATTCCCCCTGAGTGAATCACTGGCTTCAGCAATATGCCAGTTAAATCTAAGGCTGAAGAAGCAGCCATGAAAACTATTCGTGAATATCTCCAAAGCGACGATTACTACGACGGCATTGAAAAGGCAGTCGATAAAGCCGTAAGCAAACAATTAGGTAAACTTATCAAGCGACTGTCAAAGATTGAAAAGGTTAACGAAAACATAATAGAGCGACTTGACCATAATGACGTCAAACTGTTGGAATTTGAGTCCATCCTGCAATCAAAAGAAGTAGAAATTACGAGATTGAATCATCAGTTACGTAATCATCAATCATCTATAGACAACTTCAAAATGTCCCTAAACGATACTGAACAATACTCTCGGCGAAATTGCATCAAGTTCTACGGTGTTGAGGAGATGAACCGTGAAGGGAATGGCAGTATGAGTGAGAACACTGATGACGTCATATGTAAGTTGGTGACGGAGCGTCTCGGGGTATCCCTTACCCCGAATGACATAGACCGGTCCCATCGGATCGCTGCTCCCAAGCGTGACGAAGCACACGGAACTACGTCACTGGCACCAGGCACAGCGCGAGCATCGAAGAAACCAAGACCGCGAGCAATCATCGTGAAGCTCACTACTTATCGCATGAGAACTGAAATTCTGAAAGTGCGCAGGAAGCTAAAGGGAAGTGGTATCGGAATCGACGAGGCATTGACGAAGACCAATCAGGACCTTCTCTATGCCGCTAAGCAGCATGAGAAGGTGAAAGAGGCATGGACCTCAGATGGGCGCGTAATCGTGTTACTGCCGGCAACCAGAGGAAACACCATCAAGCGAGTGATTCGTAGCAAAGAAGAATTAAAGTGGTTATAAAGAAAGACAATGAATGACCGAATGAGAGAAACTGATGAAAATAAAATGGACAGTGAATGTTATGGACAATGAAAATAGTTAATGAACAATTTTGACACTGGGAAGAGACAAATTAATGAACAAATACTAGTATACAATCATTTTCACTGATGCATTTCCATATGCATTCAATTTTATATTTTCTGTTTTGTTTTTGCCCGATATATTATATATATATATATATAGATATACATATATTAATTTGGACTACTCAATAGACCTGTTTAATTTTGTAGTTTACGTAGTTTTTGTATGAATATTTTGTTCCCGTATTTTGCATGTCTATGAATTTGTGTTCTGTCTTTCCATTCTTTTCTGTCAACAATGATGAATACCTTAACTGTGTTGCACAAGTAAACAAAATACGTATAACTTACGATGATTTAAATGACATGAGTGAAGATGTAAGATTAAACGATTCTATTCCAATTCTTGATTCTGACTTTGATCAACAATATGTAAATGATTGCAAATATTATTTGGAAGATGAATTCAAAGAGTCTATAGATCCAAATTTATTACAATTTAGTGCTATACACTTTAACTCGAGGAGTATGGCCAAAAACTTTGATCAAATTTCTGCCTACCTTAGCAACCTTTCTTTAAATTTTACGGCTATTGGTATTACAGAGACGTGGCTGAATTCAGAAAACGAAAATTGTTACATGTTGGATGGATATAACTTTATTAATAATAACAGAAAATTTGGTAGAGGAGGAGGCGTTGGAATATTTTTAGATGAAAAGTTGTGTTATCGATTACGGGATGACTTGAATCCCACGTGTTCTTCATGTGAAACTGTATTTGTTGAAATTAATATACCTCGATTAAAAAGTATAGTAATTGGTGTAATCTACAGACCCCCGAAGTCCAATTTATATAAATATATGACATATTTTGATAAACTATTGCAAGAACTCTCCAAGGAAAATAAACAAATCTATCTCCTTGGAGACTATAATATTGATTTATTGAAAATTACTTCAAATAGTATTATTACTCTAATGAACATAATTGCGTCACACGGCTTTTACATTCAAATTAACCTTCCAACCCGTGTAACCAACTCATCCCTTTCTATTATTGATAACATATTAACGAATGACAATGATGTTACTCCAGGTATTTTTTATTCCTCAATTACTGATCATATGCCAATTTTCTGCTATAAGAGAGGTGTTTATAAAAATGTTTCAGAACAGTCCTATACTTACAGGAAAATCAATGATTTAACGATTAATAGTTTTTTTGTTGAATTAAGTAACATTGATTGGGGTGACGTACTAAGGTGTATGGATGCTGATAAAGCTTATACTTTATTTATGAATATATTCCTCAAATTGTATGATAAACATTTTCCTCTTACATCAACAAAAAAGAGAAAAAAAATAGGAAACCGTGGGTTACCAATAAAATATTGAAATTGATTAAGAAAAAAAATAAAAGTTTTAAAACATTTTGTCAAACAAGACGTACAAGTGATGAGAGAAAATTTAAAAAAATTAGAAATAAAGTTATTAATGCCCTTCGTAGAGCTCGTCAAGAATATTATAAGAACTTGTTACAATTGAATCGAAATAGTATTAAAAAGACCTGGAAAACAATTAATGAATTATTGGGCAAAAAGAAAAGTCAAATTCCAAAAACATTTCAATGTAACGGAAAATTATTTACTGAGCCTATTGAAATAACAAATCAATTCAATAATTATTTTATTAACATTGGAAAAACTGTTAGTGACGCGGTACCACAATCTATTCATTCTTCTCATTTTTATTGTCGAACAAGTGTTGTTGATTCAATCTTTTTATCACCTGTACATACGAGTGAATTAATTGATGTCAGTAAATACCTTAGAAGTAATGCAAGTTGTGGAATCGATAATGTAAGCTGTAAAGTTGTTAAGCGGGTTATCCATGCCATTGTATTGCCGTTAGTTCATGTATTTAATCTTTCCATTGTATCTGGTAAAGTACCCTTAAAACTTAAAGAATCTAAAGTAATCCCTGTTTTTAAGAAAGACGATCCCGGCAAATTTGTAAACTATAGACCCATATCCCTCTTACCATGTTTTTCTAAATTACTTGAACGACTAATCTATAATCGGTTATATAAATTTTTAAATATCAACGATATTTTAAGTGACACTCAATATGGATTTAGACCCAGCTATTCCTGTGAACATGTTCTTTTAAAAGTGCAACAAAAAATATTAGATTCATTTCAAGCTAACGAACATATAATAGGGATTTTTTTAGACTTATCTAAGGCATTCGATTCTATGGATCACTCGATACTTTTATTTAAACTACAACAATGTGGAATACGAGGGGTTGCATTAGACTGGTTTAGGGACTATCTTTTAAACAGAGTTCAACATACTTTTGTCCACGGTGTTTTGTCTTCTTCGTTAAATGTCTTTATTGGGGTACCTCAGGGATCAATACTGGGTCCCCTGCTATTTCTTTTATACATAAATGATCTTTGTAAATCATCTAACTTATTAACCTTCTATCAATTTGCTGATGACACTAGTATATTTTTTTCATCTAAAGATTTGAATAATACTGTCCGCGTTCTAAATAATGAGCTTAAGAATATATCTGACTGGTTAAGAGCAAATAAATTGTCCCTGAATGTTGACAAAACTAAATGTGTTTATTTTCGAAAAACTAAATATAATATAGGATCTAAAATTTCCAAAATTTCCGATATAGCTAGCAATAACGGTCCTTTAATTAATAACGATAATATTCCCATTTACATTAATAATAAACTTATTCAATTAAGTAATTCCGTTAACTTCTTGGGTGTCGTATTAGATAATTGCTTGGGATTTAAGGACCATATCACAAATGTTTTACATAAGATCAGCAGAAATGCTGGCTTGATAAATAAGCTAAAATATAGTTTGTTACCCGAAAATTTGATAACTTTATATCATTCCATTATTTTCCCATACTTGAAATATTGTAATATTGTATGGGCCACTAATGCAACACAAACTGAATTAGACTCACTATTTAAAGTTCAAAAGAAATGTTTAAGAATAGCTACCAATTCTCATTATCTAGCACCATCAGCACCTTTGTTTAAGAAGCTTTCGTTATTAAATATATATGATATAAATAAGCAAGAAATCGCAACGTTCATGTACAAATATAAAAACAAGTTGTTACCTGCCCCCTTTTCAGACCTCTTTCAATATAATAGTCAAATTCATAATTATAATACACGGCTTTCCAACAAATTTCATTTATGGTCTGTTAAGTCTAGTTATGAAGCTAAATCAATGAGTTATCTAGGTCCTAAACAGTGGAATATGATTCCCCAAGTAATAACGAAATCACAATTCATATCTTCCTTTAGAAAACAATATAAAATCTTACTACTAAATAATTACTAATCAGCTCAGTTGTTGATTTTTTTTTCTTCTAAATTGTATATCTGAACCCTCTTTCATTGTTATCTTGTTTTCCTTTCCTTTCTTTTCCCCCTTTATATATTGTTTTTCTTCTCTCTATTTTAATTTCTCTTGTCTTATAGATAGTTGAAGTGTTTGTACTTTGCTTATTTTACTTAATTTATTGTTGTGTGCTTATAATATGTTATATTTCTTTTTGTATTTGTTTTTCATTCTTTAATGGGCGATCCAACTTCACAGGTTTTCGCAACCTTCATGGAAAGCCCCGCATATAACCTTTGTAAACATAGTTAAAATTTACTGTTACTTTGTATATTTTGATTTTTATATTGCGAAATAAAATTGAATTGAATTGAATTGAATTGAATTGAATTGAATGAACGTGATTCATCATTGGTTCTCTATGACATGATTTCACAAATAATTAACTTCTATTTCTATATTTCTCTTTTTTTCGTCCCCATGTATAGCTTTTACCGTCCGATTTGTTACAAGACGTTTCATCTGGGAATATGACCCAACATTAGGTAAGTCATACTACAATATGTATTCATCTATCTTTATCTATTTCAATGTATATATTTATTCATTTATGAACTGTTATAAGTGTTATCATTATTATACATTACTTGTTATTATAATCATTTTCTTATTATTTGTATTATTACTGTTATTATCATTATTTATTGTTTTGTATTATTATCCTTATTATCATCTTCATTAGTATTATTAACATAAGAAGTAGTATTGGTGTTAGTAGTAGTAGTAGTAGTAGTAGTAGTAGTAGTAGTATAGTAGTACTAGTAGAAGTATACGTTTTTGTTGTCTTTGTCCATTTTCTATACGTAAGTGCTTAAAAAAAAAATCCCTTTTTTTGCGAACTATACTTATTTTCTTCTCGCTCATACTCAGACGATAAAATGTCGCGATCGACATTATGTTATGTTTGTGGATCTGATTTAGTAAGCGCCTGATTTCCGCATGCCTCATTAAATCATATGACGAAGCCCTTGGATTATTATAATCTCATAAGTTGTTCGCTCTGTCACAAACCACATGATGTATGTATGTATGTATCTCTCTGTCTCTCTCTCTCTGTCTCCCTCTGTCTAACGCTCTCATTTCTTGTGCACCTTTCTCTGTTTGCCTGTATGTCTGTCTCTTTTTCTCCCCCTCCCCCTCTCTATCTCTCTCTCTCTCTCTCTATCTCTCTCTCTCTCTCTCTCTCTCTCTCCCTCTCTCTCTCTTACCACCTATCTTTTCTTACCTGTCTCTGTATCGGATTTTATGTAGACCTAACTTTATCTAGTATCTATCTATATGTCTATATTTCCATCAATCCATCGATCTGCCTATCTGTCTATCTATCTATCTACCACATTCATCTCTATCTAGAGCTCATCCTTGTACTTCTATAATATCTGTATATTTTGCCTCTTTCTTTCTCTCCCGTATCGAGAGTCGCAGATTTGTCAGCATCCCCCCCCCCTCTCTCTCTCTCTCTCTCTTTCTCTCTCTCTCTCTTGTGATCGTTATCTGTTGGACACGCCTTTTTTTTCATGTTGAATGTTCCATCATCAAAAAAGATTAATTCAAAAGAATTCATAAAATCTTAAGATGTGAACGGAACAAATGCTATGGCATGAATTGTTTTAGTTATCCAATTCATTACACCAATATTGAGGACAGAGGCCAACAAAATAGAAGAAGCATCAACAATCAACATCATGCTACTCCCAACGCACTGCACACCACTGCAATACTAAATCCAATGCTGGCCGTACAGCACGTATTTTAACGCATAGAACTACAAAACTTGCAGTTACGGAGTGCGTGCAAAACAATGTATAGCGTGTAGTGTGCAAAGTGATGGGGCCTCTCGCATTAAGATTGAACCGTTGCATCGGGAAGAAGAAATTTTCTTGAATGAAAACCAGATTTGATGAGATTATCAGGCTATCAGCTCTCAATTGATTGGCTATGAATTGAATATTATTGATACGTGAGGCTTCCATCCGGGGCCCTAAGGTTTTTCTAAGCAAATCCAGTCTTTAATCGTTTATCTTTTGAATATTACCCGACAACCGGTAATTTTAGAGGTTACGTTTTGACTGTTCTCGTATGAAATTCACCTGGTGGGATAAGTATTTTGATTCTTACCAAAGCCTCATCTTACCAAGCTTCTAAATCAAGACAATCATGTTTCTAACTTCCTAAGCCTCTCTTCCAAATATTTGCTTTTTATAGAATCATTAGGGAGAAACAGAGCTGGTTTTAGTTTCTGATTTGACTTCTGCCTGAAAAAAGAGCAATCTTCACTCGAAAGAATAATTATTATACTAAGCCATAAAAGCAAACAGCAGGTGCAGAAGTATTTCTTAGAATCGGACATTTATATCTGATTTAATCCCCCTCCCCCTCAAAATAAAAATCAATCAATCAATCCAAACGTATAAATAGGCCCACATTTGATTCTATTTCTTCTCATAAAGTCACTAATCAATCTCAAATCTTGTTGCCCTTTCCGCTATGTCTCTTAAATTTGAACTCCTCTTGTTAAATGTTGTAGAGGGTGCATACTCAACGAGGACATGTGCCATTTACTGGTCCTTTTTTGCCATGTTTCAATTTTGTAACATTTCTTTACATGATAGAAGCACATATTTTTGTTTGTTAATAGCTAAAGGGCATGATATCATAATATACTTAAAGCTTATCAGTACTAGTTTATAGGAGGGATTAGACTGCCCTGCAAGGTCACTGGACAGGTGGCTATCTCATCAACTCAGCTCTCAGTTAACATAAGAAAAAGAGGATCATGGGGCACCAATGGTCACCGATTAGGCATTGTTTAATATAGAGAGGGCGCAAGTAGCTACAGGTAGTGCAGTGGGCCTTTAAGTTAACACCCTTTTGGCTCTTAACAGAATTGACAGAGGTTTCGTACACCAAGCGGGTATTGGTGATGAATACGATTAATCTGCTGTCCAATCAGATAGATGTATGCACAATGATTTTTCAACAATTAAGTTTTTAATTGAAAGGGAGAACATTTCGCGTCCCCCCCCCCCCCCCCCACCCCCGTCTTTCCCCTTCACCGAGCATGTTGTTGGGAATTTCATCTGCTCTCTAAAACCATGGAATTTGTAGTAGGTCCATGCTCAAACTCAATGCGCCAGTGAGGCGAAGAGAGGGTTGAGGGAAAAAGGAAACAAGGCTCTGACACGAATTACCGCCCCCCCCCCCCCCCACACACACACACACATAAGCATTTTCTTTCCCTTTTCTCCTTCTCTCCCTCCTTTCCCCATGTTTATAGGAATTTATCCTATTGCTATGTCTAACTAACGCGGGTCTTTTCCACTTTTCATCATTTCAGAAATGATCTACAGACATCGAGGGTTCTTTACAGAGGAGTTAGCGCCAGTCGATTTTGAAATTCTAGACACTGCAGGACAGGTAATTAATAACAATAATAACAACAACAACTACTCGATAATGATACCTTGTTATGCAGGCAAACCTGTCTATAGCGACCACTCAAGGGAAGCACAAAAAGTGGTCTTTGTCGACAGGTGGTCTCTTTAGACAGGTTCCTTTAGTACATGTTGCAATGAGGAACCATTTACAAGGGAAACAAAACATATGGTCTGTGTAGACAGGTGGTCACTGAAGCAGGTTTGACTGTATATCACCTCACGTGCAGATTTGATAATATTTGGTATATAATGATTATGATTACAATTTATAAATTCTTCTTCGGCGCATGCATGCACGTAAGCCTCTTTCTGCTGTACTATACTGTACAATTCCAGTAATGCGATTTAAAAAATGTATATATATATATATATACGAGGGTGCAAACTGATGCAACACTTTAAATTATTCTAATTTCAAATATATTTTCATCCCAACAAAATTCATGATTATACATGACTTATGAAACTAATGATTATTGAATGTCATGTCATTGTCATGTCATAGTCATGATATATGGTTAAGTGTCATGTTAAGTCATGCGTGTTCTGGCATGTGGAGCAGTCTTTTCTGCCCCTAAGTTCAGGCCACCCCTTGTCCCATTCCCTCCCCTGTCAATGTTTAGTGTGCCACTTAAACTAATATTCCAATCTCTCTCTCCCTCTCTCTCTCTCTCTCTCTCTCTTCTTGTTGTTGTTGTTCTTCTTCTTCTCCTTAATCTGTTTCTTCTCCTTTGTTTCTTCTTCTTCTTCTTCTTCTTCTTCTTATTCTACTTCCTCTTCTACTTCCTCTTCTTCCTCTTCTACTCCTTCACCCTCACAGGAAGACAAGACGGAAGAGAAGATGCGATGGGCCGATGCCTTCATTATCATGTACTCCATCGCTGACCGATGTAGCTTCGACGAGGTCATGCGGCTCAAATTCCTCTGCTCGAGAGCGACGTCAAAACGGTCGCACGAGCCCGCCATCCTCATCGTCGGCAACAAGCGCGATCTCGAGTACGACCGCATCGTCGAATACGACGAAGGCGAGGAGCTCGCCCGGAGTCTCGGCTGCGCCTTCCTGGAAGTCTCCGTTCGCGAGTCCTACGACGAGGTCTACGGTGCCTTCGAAAAGCTCATGAGCGAGTACCGGGTACGAAAGCGGACGGGCTCCTCGACGATGACGCAGAAGTTTTCGCTGCGGAAAAAGAACAGTGTTTCCAAGATGGACTTGGACAACTGTCCGCCGCGGCCGAGGGAACGGTCGACGAGCTTCGTGACGCCCATGGGACTGCTGAATCGAAAATTTGAACATTCGCTAATGGATAATCTTTCAGATCACGAAGGGGGAGAATGAGCGTGAAACGCGGTTATGAACGATCAAATTCGCTGCGGTTTACACGTCAGGTGCGGTATGAGAAGTGACGTACACATGTAGAGTGTATGATATGAACCGGTTGTAACCGCGTACCATGGCGTTGAACGCTAACACCAATGGTGTAAAACAAAACAGAATAGCTTATTCACTTGATTACCAACGTCGGATCACATACTGCGGTTGGGAACGGCGTAAACGCGGTTGAGAATTGTGTGACCGCGCTTTTTGCAATATGGTTTTCAATGCCTTTGGCGTTTTCTGTTTATATATATAAGTGACCTTCGTATTGAACTGCAATCACGTGATACGAGTAAAAGGGACCAATATGCTGTTGATTTTTATCTGCCTTGTATTATTCAAGACGAATATCATGAATGAGGTTTCATTTTCATTTTCATTGCAGTGTACGGAAAAGAAAAATTCAATGAACACCCGTTTAATGGTACAGGATGCAGATTCAACGATTCAAAATTGAGACAAAAAGATTGAGTAATATTTTTCTCACTCTTTTCAGCATGATCGGAAAGACTTCCGAAAATATTAAGTCAAGTGCAGTTTGAATACCCCATTCAACATCCCATAGATATCCTGTTTGGTTATAAATTAATAGGCATTACGTCATTGTGATGTTCGCACATTCCAATCGGTGATGGTCATGGTTATTCAAATGTCTTTTTAATCATGTTTTTTTTTTCTTCTTCTAATTTTTCACGACTGTTGGGCAACTTGTCAGCATTTTTCTTGTGTCCACAACCCCCTCCCCCATCCATCATTCAACATACGATATCCCCGCCTACTATTAGTAATCATAATTATAGTTATCATCTCTGGTTCGCCAGCTGTGACATTTTACGCCTCTTCTATTTTGTCATATTCATTTCACTATACCGCGAGAAAAACACGATATTTATTTCTCTCCCCTAATTGAAAATCAAAGGACATTCGTCGAGTTTTTACATGGTATTTTGTTCTTACGTTACATGAATTCAAACATGGGAAAACCCCTGATGAATCAGGGGCGATATTTTGAGGGGGCGATTTCACACAGAAACAGGGTTGTTTTGTGCTCATTTAGGGAGCCATCTGTTTATTACGTTTACTATTCCTATAGTTGTCTTTTATCTGTTATGGTCCTAAAACGTTATAATGCACAATTACTCTTATTACCCACACAATCAAGCTTTCGAAAATAAAAATTAAAAAAATCCAAAACACATTCCATTTTAACATGCAAAGGGAATCAGTAGACAACAGTATAGGCCTATACCTTGAAAAGAGCACCCCCCCCCCCCCCCCAATGCCAACCGTTTCACTAGTAATGTTCCTTACAATGACGTCATTACGTTCTCATTGTTCTGTCATCACTCTAAGAACAGATGGAGCCAATGAGTAAGTCAGGCGTTAATTTTTAAGAAACTCGTCACAAAATATATTGCAATACCGCGAAAAGATTTTTAAAAAAATTAGCATAGGGTGATTGTTCGATCATTAGTTATATAGCATGACTGTAGCGTAAGGTAGAAATGTTATAGAGTGAGAAATAACGTTGTTTGAAAGAAATTTGCAGGGTGAGACATAACATTTTTATAATTACAACCCCCCTTTTCCATATCTTTGCAACAATGTAGGCCTATTGTTCGAGGCGTATCTGACGTAGCATCAATTAGGGTAGACCCATTCATGACGAATATGAGGATGGCAGTACACAATTTTCTTGAAAGCATTACCTTTTTTTCCCGAGCAGTAAAGAATTAACAGCTGGGCAAAAAATAACTTTGTTTAATTAGTTAATATTTCACGACTTCCATATCTTCTTAAACTGGAAAGGATATAAGTGTGGGATGCAAAGTAAAATCGTTCATCTTTACCTCTACAAAAAATCAGGCGTGGCAGGTTTTTCAGATCATCATTTTCTTTTTGATTATTCCATTTGAAGCTTTTGTAAATGGATGTGACGTAATGCTCTACCAAATTATTGTGACAGTCTAATCTCCAGTGATGCTGTCGTCACACGCTTTGCTAATTTTCTAAAGATTTCATTATTGTATTATTGTTTTCAATCAAATTTTTTATTTTTGTTTTAAATTTAAATCGTGGATAACCGTTGCTTTAATTTTTGGATTTGTATTCAAATCTAATTAAGATAATCCCTCTAAATTTAAGGGGGATTATATTCATAATGAGGCTTTAACCCGGCTGCCATAATCATTATCCACGATTCAAATGCTTTCCCACTTGTCAACAATTGTAATGCCTTGGGCCTCTGACAATTTCATCCCGTGGTACCAATTATGCAAAATCAATGTTTTTAACATTGCAATGAGTTTCCTGCTGTTCCAAACAATGCTATTTTTGGATTTTTGTCAGGTATAGATGAGTAATTCGTCGTTTTCTGAGCAGCAGCAGCAGCTACCTTAATCCTTCTTTGAGCAATTAAAAACCGCAAATGTGAGGCTTAAGGGGATCACAGTTCTCCTATGTCTGTTTATATGTATTGTGTTTGTACAATTGGAGCCGTGTCAACATAACAATTAATAACATTTAAAATGTAATGTAATTTTCATTTTCATTTGGCATTTCGACATGTTTAGTTCCTATTCACTTAATTTGCCTTGTGCATGGATGAAATAATTGCACTAATGAGGGCTAATTAAAGAATAGGGTTTTACGTTTTGAAGTAACATAACGATGTCATCATTGGCAGTGCCCCTGTGGTCAAGAGCGACCGCGCTGAACCAGTAGATCACCGATTCGAATCCTACATCGTTTAGTAGTTGATGAGTTGTCTCAATGCACGATATTCTTGAACGCTATGGGTGCAGTAAATTCGATTGTATTTCTATATGGAAATGCATTTGACAAAGAGTTATTCTGAATTTTTATCATACATTTGTTGGGGTGGTTGTGCCTGTTAAAATGTAAGCAAACTTGTGGTAACTTGTAGAAAATGAACGAAACAACATACTCATAAAATCATTATTATGCACATTTTAATCATGATAACTGGACTGTGTGTATTCTATGAACTTGATTTGTCCATTACTCTAGCTCATTACTCATAATGTGTTTTTCGCCAGATATGGTTTGTATTCTGCAATATTCAGGGCAGGTTATTTCTGTATTCTGAGGAAATTGTTGACATAAATTGAGATTAACTTGACGAAAAAAGATGCAGAATCAATCTTTTCAATGGAATAGACCTGTATACTGATGTGTTTCAATGTATGCGTGTTTCTCTCCCGAACCCCTGGGGCCATGCAGTTTCACGAAATTGTCATAAGTCCAAGTTCACAGACATCCCATAGATACGCATGTTAGTACTATAACACACGTTTCAATGGGATATGTACAAGAAGTTAGACCTATGACGGTTTTAAGGAACGGCCCCCTGGTTAATTACCAACTATCCATTCACCTGCTATATGCAAAACATCATGTCTATGAAGGGAATTCACTTTGCATACATTAGTTGTTGCTATGTTCGGTAAGCCTCTGGCAATCTGTTCAACCTTTGTCCAAAAGTGTGCATGATATTGGTAATTATTTATATCGTAAAAACATCTCAACGCGGTTACTTCATGAATATGCCTAAAGATAATTTATTTCACCGTGTGTCTGTATTGAAATGTTATGTATCATTGTATGAGGTAGATATATTGAAATTTAACCGGAAGTGTGTGTTGTTCACAGTGCACTGCACACGAGTTCACACTTGACACATTCCATTCTAAAGCCTATGACTTTACGCAGTGCCTTTTATCGATTTGGTGCGCAGAGTGAACACGCCCGTCTCTTGCACCTGTTCAAAATGGTAGGAATTTTCAGAAGAACATGAGCCTAGAAAAAACATATTCTCACTCTCTTGTAAAGAGGTACGTGTTTAGATGCGTGCCTATATGGCTTATCGTGTGCACAGTCGTAGAAGGGGGGAGGGGGAGGGGGAGGGGGGAGGGGGGAGGGGGAGGGGGTGACTTTGGCAAAGATCTTATTGATCTTTTGAGGTGTAGAGCATTTCTGATTTAAAATTAAAAGCACATTAAGATGGCACACGCTAGTACTACTAGTTAACGTACAATGCAATGGAATATGGATCGCCAATTGGCGAACACTGTAGAATAAGGAGAAGTATGGAAATCTGAAGAAAAAAATAATATTTCGTTGACAATATTATCCAGGTATGACTTCTTATGGAAACGCTTGCGCATACAAAATGTCAAATGGTTAATAAAGCACTAAACCTCTTTTCAAAATGCACTCAAAATTTATAGTAATGTTAAATGGGTGTAATTATTTATGAATAACGCTCAACTGCACGAAAACTCTTCGATTTCCAACGGTCGCATTATTTATTACGAAATTGCATTTACACAACATTTTCTGCAAAATTGACGTATGTATTCTTCAAGGGTTCCGGGTTAATGCTTGCATTGATTTTGCTTGAATTGAATTGAACACGAATGCTGTGACTCTCCCTATGCGGATATGCTTACAGAGGTGCGTGGTTTTCTTTTGGAAGTCAGTATTTTCGAAGGTATATGTCCAGAAAATAAAATATGTAATGAAAAGACAATCTGACATGAAACAATTTTCGAGTACGATCGCAGAGACTTTCTAAGAAATCAACTCAATGATAAAATAAATACCCAATTGTATTGCCTATAAATAATATGTTCGGAATATGTAACGTGGTATTGTAAAAGTTTGCACATTTCAATGGGACGCACAACGCTACTAAAATTGTCTGTGGTTGCGGGTTGTTTTCGCCGATCGTGTTTTCAGGACTTCTTCACGATTTTTTTCATAATAATGATGTCAAATACCTGATCAGAATTTGATCAAAATATTTTATCATAGGTGAATACAAAGAATGAAGAAGTAGATAGTAAAACACTGCAAAGCGTTTTGAACAGAATGATAGTTGAAACCTGAAAACTCTGTATGAAAATGGTTGGTTGTCGAACGAAGAGGGCGGTATTACAAACAAAAGTGCAGAGCCCTTTAGGAGAAGAAGGAAAAAAATGCCATGAGTTACTTTACGTGAAGTGATTCTTTCCACTGAAATCGCCTTCTCTGTATTTTGTTATTCTATCATGATTGCGAATTGTTATGTATATAATGTTTTGTTTATTGAGCATTATACACAATATGCACATGCTGAAAGGAAATAAAAGAAATTATTGTATTTTCTACGCAGATACAAACTTAATTCGCCGTGTTTGACTTGACTTTATTCTATTTATTTGTCCTTATGTATGCTGAATGATACACGTAATACTTGTCAGGGGTGACGCTTTACTTACATTTTTTTTTACTAGAAAAAAATTATACGCAACTGATAATAAATTTGGCATTTTACTTTTGTACATAGGGGATTTATTTTTATTCATTTGGTTTGCCCTTTTTTCGGGAGGGGGGGTCATTTATTTATTTGTTCAAATATGTATATATATATATATAGAGAGAGAGAGAGAGAGAGAGAGAGAGAGAGAGAGAGAGAGAGAGAGAGAGAGAGAGAGAGGGAGAGAGAGAGGGGGGAGGGGAGATAGTGTGGTATTACAGATCATATGTAAAGGCAAGATAGAAATGACTTAAACCTGCAATCCCTTTCATGTTTAGTTTGCTTAATCTATAAAAACCAGTCTGTCTTTTTAAGAAAAAAGACCACACTTCATTCGTGGTGGTGGGGGGGGGGGGGGGGGGGGCTAAACTGTTGAGAGACATGGCGGCTAATGAAAATGGGGTAATGGACTATAATGGGCTTAAATACGTCCTTGTTTTCACGAAGTGACGGTAGTGAGGAAAATCTACACGTAAAGTGAATGCAATTTTTTTTTCACTACCGTCACTTCGTGAAATACATGAACAGAGATATTACAGACACAGTATGGGTAGCATCATATACCTCACGTTCTCATTATCCCTTTTCTTTCTAATGGTTACTTCACTTTGCAAAGCATTTTGTTTGGATTATAAAACAGCTTGCCTTCACGCCTTTCTCCAGTTTTTGTTTAATATTCAGATAGATCTATGAGGAAAAGGAAAAAGCCAACGGGGTGTATAGGCATAATGGGTAATCTACACTGTAGGATTAATATATTCAGACTCAGAGACATTGCATATACACATGGGCAACACACTTTTTCTTCTTTGGTTTTTGTAATGGTCAACACACTTTTAAAAAGCATTTTGTTCAGGATGGTGTTATAAAAACAGCTTGTCTTGAGCCCCTTTCCCACCCCTCCATTTTCCTTTATTTTAACGCTTTAACAAAATATTTTGGCTGTGGGG